CAGGGCCAGGTGGCACAGGAAGTAGTACATGGGCGTGTGCAGGCGCGGGTCGCGCACAGCCAGCAGCACCAGCGCAGCGTTGCCTGCGAGCGTCAGGAGGTAGCAGAAAAGCACCGACGAGAAGAGCACGGGCTGCAGCCAGGGCCAGTCCAGGAAGCCCAGCAGCACAAAGCGCTCCCCTGCGCTGTGGTTGGCCTGGAGGAAGGAAGCTGCCAGATGTTTAGAAGCTTGAAATGCGCCAAGGGGAGTCTGTGCCTTAGAAACAAAGGAAGCCCGGGTGTGGGGGCCAGCAGGGAAGGAGAAGCAGAGCGCCCTAGGTTGTGTTGGTGGAATCCGGGGCTGACCCTATGACCCCACACTTCTGAGCTGTGCTCTGTGGGGTCTGTTTTCTTGCCTCGTTCTTGTTGGACCCCTCAGACCAAAGTAGAATCTGATTTTTCTACTAAACACTAAATACTTTCAGTCGTTTGTTTTTTCCCAATTATTTTTGTTTCTGTACACTTCTGTTCCTCTATATGTGTTCATGTTCCACTCACCTTCCATCAAATCACCATGCTAGTACCTCCTCTAACTCCCTTTTTCATCCCCTCCTCCTTCCCCATCCCTTTGAGAGCCATTAAATTCATTCACTGAGTCTGTCATTTATGCCTGCTATATTTTGCCTGTGTATGTTTTTGTTGTTGTTGTTTATACTCCACATGGGTGAATCCATCTTTTTGTCTTTCACTTTTTCACTTACTTCACCTAACATAATCACCTTGAAGTTTGGCTTTTGTCCCACCACTTCCTTTTTCATGCCTGTGTCATATTCCATTGAGTATATATTCCATGATTTCTTTATCCACTTACCTGTTAATTTGAAGACAGATTTTACTCTCAGACTCCCTCCTCCTTGAAAAGGTGAGTTCCTAACAATAAGTGTGTCAGCCCATACGGCCTTTTTCAGTTCAGGTGCTCTGCTTCTGGTAATACAACCCTTCACTTTGCTAAGCACTGAATTCTAAACTGTAGTGACTCTCTCTTACAAGCTACTCACAATGTTCATTACCCTCTTGCTTTTGGCCCAGGGTAATGACTACAGTCCACACTGATAGCTCAGGTGGACCAGCCTTTAAAGCAAGAGTCAGCTGGGTAGAGGAAAGAAAATGAACCAGAAGTCAGGGAACTTGACTCCACCTGTCTTGATTGCCTTTGGCCCATTATTTGATATGGAAAGTCACTTCCCTTTGCTTCAAGTTTTTGACATGTTAAAGGAAAAGTTGGAACTAAATGACCTCTAATCTTCCTGTATTATCCCACAGTTCTAATTTCAATATTTTTCAAACTAATGTAAAGGGGCCAGAGACACCTTTAGTCTTTGAAAAAGATACTGAAGCAGTATTTCTAATGGTACAAGAACCATAATGATTGATGTGATGGATACAAGGTACACAGAAATCTTTCTGCTGCATGTTACACAACAGGCATTACTATACAGATAATATTTTAAGCATCATATTCACTGTTCTTAATTTAAAAATCATAATCCCTTCATTTTTACTATATTTCAGATTTCCAGTTTTCCCCACATAAGACACTATATTTATATGCTTCTCTCATTTTATCTTCACTTGGCAGAACTAGTACTAGTGATTTCAAGAACAAGTGTCCAAGTTTTAGACTGCCCAAGTTAAGTCTGGGCTGCAATATCCTGACGAAACACCTGGGACATGGGGCTTAACTGTTCTGTGGGCAGGTTTCCTCAGATGAAAGCAGAATTGTTCAAACCTCCTTGAACAGTATAGTTACTTAGCAGCTCATAGTAGGTCTTCAATCAAGAGTCATCATTATCATCCCTGTCCTACACTGGGTAGACACAGACTGGCATGGAAATTTATGTCCCCTTTCATGGACTGATCTTTACTCACTGGAAAGCTGGATAATACTTCTATTTTACAGGGTAAGATAATGGAGTTTCTATAACTTACTCTGATCACATAGTTTGTGAACTACATCAGGATTTCAATGCAGAGCTGACTAACCCTGAGATACTTGGGGATTTTTGTTTGCTTGTTTATTTAATAAACTGTGTTCTAATGTCCTATGAACTCAGAGAATAACAGTACATGCAAAAACTGACTATTATTTAATATGGGCCTCATAGCAGTCGTCATGGAGATGAGCTAAGTACTAGCATATGGTTCAACAGTGCTAGAAGCTATGGAGCTATAAAGTCAGATTCTCTAATTCTTTGATTATATAGAAACATACCTGTTCAGCCAGGCAATCATCTACCACTTCCCTCCAAATATGCCAAATTCTGAAAACAATTGCACAGTAACAGATTGCAAAGACAACATCCTTACTACATGTATGCACACTTCCCAACATAGAGCTCAAACAGATGTGAACTCTTAAACTACCTGTTCCCTATGGTTTCTCTCTACTATCCAGAAGAAAATTTCTTTTTTAAAAAAAAAAATTCATCTTGCCCTCATTTGGTTTTATAGAATATTTCATCTGCAAGACTTACCCTCATGTCTTGTTCTCTGGCAGTAGCATTTAGGCCTTCACTTTCCAAATGAGAAGTTGGTCTCTTGCTTCTATTCTGGATTCTCTGGGTTGAAATGTCAGTGGGTAAGATGAAAGAATAACTCAACCACATGATGTGTATTCTCAGCCACCATTGTGTTCAGGATGTAGTCTTGGAACCCAAAGTTTCTGCTTGTCAAGCTAAAATGGAGTCAGGCAGGAAGCCTCTTACCAGGGCAGAAGTCTTGGTATAAGGATATGTGCTAAAACAACAGGAAGATATTATGGCCAGATTAGCATATCCAGCTAGACCTTTTTACAGTAAATAAAGTGTTAACAGGGACTAGAGATAGGATTTTTCATCAGCAGCAACAATGGAGACCCCCCCCAGGCAATAGCACCTCTTCACTCCCCTTCTTGCCAGACTATTACGCAATCCCAACACACACCCCCACCACACACATTCCTCCACACATTTCTTCCCTGAGTTACCCACCTTCCCTGGATCTGATATCAAATGAAGGTGAGACTTGTCATGGGGATGGTGCCAAATCTCCAGAGATTTGAGCCCTTCTCGTGTCTTCTCTCCTTCTGTGTGGACTTTGAGTTGTTTTTCCTCCATGTAGTGCCGCTCCCCACCCCTCAAGGTGACAACATGACTGTTGACTTCTGGAACAGACACCTTAGAGCAGAATCCAGTGCCTTAGTAAGATGGGTGGATACCTCTGGCTCATCATCAGAGGAATGAACAGAAAGCCTTTGGGCAAGAATTCACTTATTCCCTGGAAGCACCAGGTCTCAGGCAGAAAGGATAAGATCTTTCTTGAAGAACCCCATAATAGGAGATCGGTGAGACAAGAATATGAGTCTTTTTGGTGGCAGCAAAGCAGCATGAGCTGGTGTAGGTGGCAGAAATGCCTTCGGGGTCTGAAGGGCACAGTGGTTATAGAGGAGGCGAGAGGACATTATGGGGCTTCTCACTAGAGAAACAGGGGAATTGACTGACTCACTCCAGAGGACGGATCTCTGTGGATTCTATGTCCCAGTCCCATAACCAGTAATTGGTATGAAGGTGTCCAGAGAGCAGTCCCCCAAGGTGAAGAAGGGAAAATTCTGGAAGGAAAGGTCTGTTAAGTTGGTGTGTCCCTGACAATGTGTGGAGACCAGAGATAGCATGATTCTTTCTCAATATCATTTCTGCTCTAATTTATAACTGATTTAGAATCTCATCCTCTGAGTGTCATTACACTAGTCACTGACCTCAGTGACTCAATGTCACATTGAAAAACACCCTTATTTGTGTGAAATGGAGTCATCCTCAGCTTTGAATCAGCTTTTTGCCTCCTACACCTCTTTATTGTTGCCATCCCCATCATTACCTTTATTTTTTGAAGATTTTTGTTCCTAAGTAGCTTTAATTCTCTCATAGGTGCCACTGCCATAATACTTTTTATAAAAATTCATTATCTACATAGATTATACTTCTCTCACAACTCAGTAGGCATCTGGAAATGTATCACAGTCCTCACCCCTCTCATGTCTTTACTTCTTTCTATATTCAGCATATATTCACATGTCAATCATATAATTTTGGTTTTGCACACATGTTCTCTCTGCTTTGTTACACTTCCTTAGCTAAGTCTCCAAAATCACTTTAAAGGCCAGAATTACTTAGATACCAAAACCAGATAAGTACACTACAGAAAAACAAAAGAACTGTGTACCAACATACCTGATTAATATAGATTCAAAAAGTCTCAAACTATTCCTAGCAAATGAATACAACAGCACATCCCATAGCAGAACATCAGGTAGGATTTATTCCTGGGGTGTAAGGGTAGTTCAATAAGCCAAGGTAAATATATCATAGTATAGAGTGAAAGCTACAAATTTAAAAGCTCCAAAAATAAATAAATAAATAAAAGATGCAGGAAAAGTATTTGATAAAATAAAATTTAACCCGCTTTCATGATAAAAAAAAAACTTTCAATAAATATAGAAGGACTAAACCTCAGAATATTAATGGTCATTGATGACAAACTCACAGTTCACATCATATTCACTGATAAAAGGCTGAAAATTAAGATCAGCAGCAAGCCACTTTATCACACTACTTTTAATATAGTTTGGTAGTTTTGACAAGAGAAATTAGGCCAAAAAAAAGGAATTAAAAAATCCAAACTAAAAAGGAAGTATAATTTCCTGTAAATGGTATGGACGTTATATAGAAAATCCTAAAAATTCACAAAAGAACCAATAAGCCTAATAAATTCATTAAGTTGCAGGATACAAAATCAACATGCAATAATTAAATCCGCTTTTATACACTAATAACCAACTATCTGAAAAAGAGAATCTTTTTATTGAGAAGGGAGACTATGGCAGACAGGTAGGATCCTTCAGTCAGTACTCCCCTTGGGAATACCAAGAGTGGGCACCCAGAGGTAGCAGTCACATGTAGAATGCATCTGGACATCCTGTCCCAGCCAGGAAGCCAGAAACCACTGGAAATGGAAATGGAGGGAGAGATGGAAAATAGAAAAGCAACAATGGTACAAAGCCACTGTAAGAGCTATCAGCCCTCTCCCCTACCGTTCCCAGGCTATCACACTAACCTGGAAAAGAAAAAGCATATTTCTCTGTAAGAACATAGCCTGCTCCACAGTTCAACACCAGGCATTCTGAGACTCGGAATGAAAGTGGAGACAGTCACACAGTCATCTAATACATTGTCTGGGCTCATGATTATCCTGGGGAGCCCAGGAAGTCATTTAAGCCACCTTCCTCTTCTGTGCCACACCCAGACAGCACATACTGGGAGATTCTGAAAGGTCACAGAAAGCTTGGTCAGCCCACAGTGTGCTTCTAGACACAACACTCCTCCCCCTTCCTGGCCTATTCACAATCTCTGCTTGCACTCAACCCTAGCACAGTCATCTGCCTGGCTTTGTTGGCAACAAAAGGGCAGCAATGCTAGCTTATCATGTACACAAACTTTCATGTATGGGTCTTTTAGAGAATAACTTTGCCAGAGACACATGATATCTAGTGTTCACATGCAAGGAAACTGGCTTACCTCAAGATAAAGGAAAGAGTAACCGTATCATTCTCATAGACTTATCAGTAGGGGACTACAGAAAGACTGAGGACACAACCAACCCCTCTCCTCCACAAACCCTGGACCAGTGTTAGAGTGTATAGTTAAAAGCTACAGATAACCACAGGGAGCAGAGCCTGTAACATGGGGACTTCTTGGATGTTGGTAGTCAGTATGGGGTGTCTAGAGTGGTACCTGACTTTCAACATGCTTTCGTGGGCTTCCCCTGAGGGATTCCAATTTGCTACTAATAAGCTCTAATACACTAAGGTGGGCAGGCAAAGTACACAATGCAAGGCAACTTAAGACACAAAGAAACATGTCACCCACAAGAAAGGAAAAACTCTTTAAAACCCAACCACAAATATATGAAAGATCTTAATCAGGAGGTTAAAACAAAAGGTGTAAGATTCCCATGACAAAGAAATTTTTCTTAAAAAGGAAGCAAATACAGAGGGAGGAAATGACCTGAAAAATAAAATTAATAAACAACAAATAGAAGTGGAAAATTTAAATGAGAAATTAAGGTAATCTTAGCATGCAAAAAGATCAATAAAAAAAGCCAAAAAATAAAAACTACAGAAGGAAATACAACCAGATGGAGTACAGAATTAGTAAAATTGAAGATCATAATCCACAAAGGAGCCAAAGAAAAATTAATGAAGCAATAAACCAAGAACTATCCAGATCTGCTAGGGAAAGCAAAATAAGGATAATGGATATCACAGACAGGGAAGAGAGAAAAATAATAATAATTAATTCAAAGAAATAATACAGACAAACTTCCAAATCTATTGGAAATAAATACACAAATTCATAGAGCAAAAATAATACCTGATTACCTAAATACAACAAAACTTATATCAAGACACATAGTCTTGAACCTACCAAAAATTCAAAACAAAGGAAGAATATTGACACTAAGGGACAAAAGCAAATAACAGATAAAGGAGATTCCATAAGAAGAATTCAAGCTTTTTAGAGAAAATCTGACAGGCAAGGAGAGAAGAGAATGACATATTCAAAATAATGAAAAAACTTCCAACCAAAATATTATGTCATTCAAAACTCTCCTTCAGGTAACGGAAAAATAAAGATCTCAAACAAATTAATGGAGGTAATTTGCCAACACCAGGCTCCCCACCCAAAGAAATATTAAAATGCACTCTCCTCTCTAAGTCAAAATGATGAAATTTCACACAGAGACATGTACACACAAAATTAAAAACTCGGTAGAACCAGAAAATTAAAATCGAATCCTCATATGTTAATAATAACCCTAAATGTAACTTTACTAAAATCAATAATAAAAAAGGATAGAGTGGACAAATGATAAAAAAAAAATCAAATGTTCAATTGTCCCCAGGAGACATGTCTGAATGTTAAACACAGGCTCAAAGTGAAAGGTTAGAAAGTACACCTGTAGTCAATGAGGCCCAGACAAAGGGAGAGACAGCCATACTCACATCAGATAAGATAAATTTCCAGCTAAAGAAAATAACGAAGTCAAAGATGTATACTACAGAATGACTAAAGAATCTATACACCAAGACCATATAATGCTCATCAATGTATACACACCTGAAAAAGAACCATCCCAGGTACTGCGCCAGCCTCTATGATCCATTTTGAGCTGGTTTTTGTTCAATGTGTGAGTAGTCTACCTTCATTCCTTGCATGTAGTGGCCCAGTTTCCCCAGCACCATTTATTGAAAAAACTTTCTTTTTTCCATTGCATGTTCTTTGCACTTTTGTCACAGATTAGTTTTTCATATATATGTGGCTTTATTTCTGAGTTCTCTATTTGATTCCCTTTGTGCCAGTTTTTGTTTCAGTACCATGCAATTTTGATTATTATGACTTTGTAGTATAGTTTGAAGTCTGGGAGTATATCTCCATTTCACTTCTTT